AAAGCCTCCCTTGTGTGAGTGCAGCGTTACATGAGCTGGGCGCTGGTGGTGGTTTGGGTGCCCGAGGGCTGGGGGTGGCGGCTGGAACCCGCGTTTTGCCGCTCCAGCTCTCCCCCAGCCGGGGTTTTGCACTTCAGCCGGTGGGTGATGGGAGATTTGTTTCCGATTTGTAAAAATCTGCCTCTTTTAGCCCGTGTTCACGGTGGTTTATTGAGCCCTTTGGATGTGCAGGTACAAGCCCTGCCTCCCCCCCCCCCAAAACCCCAAACAAAACCAACACTTGAAATTGTGCATTGCTGCCAGGGGAAAAAAAAAAGCGAGTTTTACTCGTGGAGCCGCCGCTGGGTTCGGGCCGTGTCCAGCAGCCAGACCAGGCTGCTCCCCCCTCCCTGCCCAGCCCTGCCCTTCCCTACCCCCAGCCGCAGGTGCCCAAAGCAAGTTTGGTTTGATTGAGGCGAGTTCTGGGCTGTCCCAGCTGCAACTTCAGAGCAGTATTTTAAGCCAAACTCTGTATTTTGAGCCTACGGTTACATCCTAGGACGGTGGGAGAAGGCAATCGGCATCAAATCTGTTCGCTAGTGAGAAAAGTTCAACCGGCTTCTCTTTAGTTTTAACAAGTGGAGGATTTAATGAGTATTTGTTTTGCTAGAAGGAAGGAAAGGTGAAAATGCCGGTGGGAGCTTGTTGCCCTCCCTGTGCCCATCGGAACCTGCCTGGGCCCTTCTGCCTCTGGCAGTTTTCCTGCAAGCCCCGTGGAAACACGGATGAAGGAAGTGGTTAAATCCTGCTCATTCAGGGTTTTTTTGCAGTCTAAAGTTCAGGGCAAGTTTTTTTTTTAATAGAAAAACATACTTTATTGCTTTTTAACAATGAAAAGATTCTTTACAACATATCACAGTTGAAGACAGATGCTTTTTTTTCCCCACTTAAATTCACTATAAATCCAGATTGGTCCACTCTTACTGGGCTTATCTCCGCCATCCTCGCTCCCTCCCAGGCCGGTCCCAAGGCTGCAGGGACATCGATGGCTCAGTCCCAAGGGTGAAGCACTTCCCTGGAGTCTTGGTGAAGTGTTTCCTGCTGGAAAACGGGCAGCAACACCAGCGGGAGCTGTAGCTGCCCAGGGATCTGTGCCTTAAATTTGGTGGAGAGCTGGAAGAGAGCAGGAACAGCTCAGGCAGGTAACGGCTTGGCTAAGGGCCTTTCCTGCGGCGCTGAGGGAGAGATCGATCGTCCTCTCACGGGGCGACTGTAGCCCCGGAGACGTGGTAGAAGCAAAGCTCACAGCATCGGGTTTGGGCATTGCCCCCCCACCGCCACCGTCACGCATGTGCCAGGTTACGATTCTGGTCCGTGTCCATCTGCCGCTGTAATTTTCAAGTGAACGGGAGAACTTGAAGCCGCTGCGCTCGGCTTCGTATCGGTTACTGTTAAACAACCACCTCTTGAGAAGAAACTTTACCCTCACAAAGGGAAAGTCAGCACCAGGTCTGCGGACAAGAGGGATCCGGTGGGAGCAGGGGTGGGCTCACAGCAGCCGCCCTCGGCACTCGATAGCCCCGCAGCAGCACAGCAGCTCTTTGCCTTCCACGCTGCCCACTTCGTAGTTGTAATCCCACGTCAGCTCTGTGCCGGCTCGTATCCGCCTGGGAAGACAAAAAAAAGCACAGGCTGGGAGAAGAGGCCATTCCGAAAAGGAGGATAAGCCGGGCCTCCTGCTAGCAGACAGCAACGCTTACATATGACCTCTCTGGACAGTCTGGCTTCCCCTGGGGCAAGGGTGAAGCAGCCAGCGCAGCTGCCTTTGGCTCCACAGCGAGCAAAGGGACAAAGTTCCCCGATGAATCACTCCCGTGGGGCTTCACAGAGGAGACGCCGCACTCGCGGTGCCCAAGAGGCACGTGGCAGGGATTCGCACCGCCCGGCGCTGCCGGCAAGGTTTGTGACTCCAATAACCTGGGCGGCCGTGCTTAACTCCCCGCTTTGGAAAGGCCTAAAACTGATGCAAATCGCACCAGAATCTCCAGCGGAGAAGTCCTCACCCAACTCATCTCCAAGCTTCTCCCCGCTCAGGCTGGCGTGAAACCGGGGACAGCAGTCACCAGTAGGAAACACCCAGCCTGCACTGGTCGTGCAGCCCTGGCCAAGGAGCTGGGTCCAACCAAGCCCCGTGAACTGGCAGCCCATCCCCAAGCGCGCCGCGACTCACTTGCTGGCGAAGAAGGCGACCCAGGGGAAGCGGAGGTCGTGCGTGTCCACAAAAACATTCTGCACGAAGAGGTTAGGACTGCAGCTATGCTGTACAGGGAGCGGAGGCAAACACAGTGAGCAAGTTCCTGCGTCGGGAGGGATGCAAACCAGCCAGCAGTAAACGCGAGCCTTTCTAAACAAGCAGCATTCCCTATTTGTCCGCTGCATCCAGCACAAGCCTGCTGAAACAGGACACACTCCCTCCCCTGCCTGCACAACCAGGGATGAGTCATAAGATCCACCCTCGCAAAGGTAACGGTCGCTGGAAGGACTGACTTGGCCATTCTGCTTACCACGCGTCACGGGGCCGGAGCAGCTGCCCCACTTCACTCGGCGGGGTGGATCATCCTCCTAGTCCTGCTCTTTTCCTACTTTTATTACTGTATTTATCTAGTCTTGGGAGGAACAGGCCCACTGAAAGGACAGGTCACCCCAAATATGTCCCTTTCCCTTCTCAGCTGCCAAGGGATGTTCCCCTTTCGTCCCCTGCCAAGGGCAGTGACTCACATTGAGGTACCGGCCAAGGTTCCCTTCCAGCTTGGCATCGATGATATAACAGGACTCCTCTCCGTCGTAGAACTGGCGGGTGGTTCTGCGGACGGGCGCGCTCTCACCCTTGTCGGCTGCTGCCATGTTGGTTGACTTGATGGCGATCCCGTGAGTTGATTTCAGGGCAAAGCCTCGGGTGGATTTCACCGCCACCTGCCTCTTAACAGGACCTGCCACAGAAGAAGAACAAACACTGCTGCGTTCTCTCCATCTTCCAGAAGAGGAACCCCACAGCAGTGCTGCTGGCCCAAGATGCTCTCCTCTTTCACACAGGGGTAATAAACCCCTCAGGGATGCAGCTCAGATCTAAAATACCACCCTGGGATGGCTCCTGGAAATCTCCCAGCTCTCCACTTAACTCAGCAGACCCTGGAGACCCACCATAACAAGTCTCACAGTTGCTTTTTCGTAGATACCCACAAATATCTAGTACTTGAGGATGGGGTTTTGCAGTTACATCTCAAACAACACGTAAGGAAGCTTCAGACCTCGGTTGTTGGACATAGCTCAGAGGTGCTCGGAGCAGGACGCACCACGCTCACAGCTGCTATGTCCTCAACAGCCCTTCTTGGTGGTTTCTGGCCAAAGCTTCTTGCTGCACCTCCGTACTTTCCGCACTCAGCCCTTGTTCCTCCCCAGCAGCTGTCCTCACCTGACCCGGATGAGGGGTTTTTCTTGTCGTCCCCTTCCTCCTCCTCGGAGCCTGAGGAAATGGTCTGGATGTCGTCGCTGTCGTTGGTGGTGCCCTGGGCCTGCCCCGCCACCGCCTGCCCGTTCTCCCCCTCGCTGTCCGTGCTGCTCGACAGGGTCAGCACGTCCTGCAGAAAGGCATTAAGAGCTCCTGAGTGCAGCTTGGGCCGGGGGAGCATCACTCCATCACTTTCCAAGCTCCCTTTTTTCCCCAGTGGTATTTTGCTCTCTTTTAGCAGAGGACTCCGTGCTCTAATAAACCCTTTTTAAGTGGATCACGCATGCGGACGCTGCGATCAGAGCTGGAACAGGACAGAAACCCCATCTCACAGGCCAATGTTTGAAACAGCAGTGGGGTTTCAAGACTGCCAGAGACTCAGAAGCCTGCACCATTACGTGCTCTGGGTTTTGCAAGGAAGGGAGAAGACCCCAAAAAACCAAAGACCATCCCCCAGGATGGCTTCCTAGACCCGGCTCTGCCGCGCAATGGGTCCCTGGTGTCCTGCGTATGCGAACGATGGTGCTACATCCCATTATAACACACGCTGTCCTCTTTTTTGGGCTTTCAGAACCATGAAAGACCCCCACTGTCTGAAGAAAATCAACCCCCCTCCAGGAAATCACAACTACGAACCACAAGCCCTGCGCTGATGCTCAACTGGGAATGAAAGTGGCATAGAAACAACCCAGAGTAAGGTTCAAGGCCTTCATCAAACCAGTTTGGAGCTGCGAGGCCGAGCCAGATCCACCCCTTCCAGCCCATGTCTGAAGCCCGAAGGATCACTGCTTACATCTGTGGTGGGCTGCGGGGCGAGAGAATGCCGTCTGCTCTGCAGCAGGGCGGTCTTGCTCGTCGGCCTCCGGATCCCTTCCAGTTTGGGAGGGCTCGGGTTGTAGCCGTACATCCTTCCCAAGTCGCTTAGCCTGTGGGATGAGGACAAGAGTGGGTCACACTTGCATCTCCAGGGAGATTGTCCGCAGGCCAGGCAGAGACAGAGCAGCTGAGGAAAGCTGAGAGCTGGACAAGACTGCCATCTCCAAGCGTTTAATTTGCCAGTGCACATTGGGGCACAGCCCAAATCCTCCCAACCTCTCAGTTTACTCTGGCAGTGGCATTAACAGAGTTAAGGGGCAGCCCTAGAGTTGCAGCAATTCATTCAGAGCGATATTTGGAAATAAAAAGCGGGAAAATACAGTTTAAGGAAGCTTACCCGGGAATTTTGGTTGGATCTTCAGGTTCCTGCAGAGGGGAGAAGTACAGAAGATTAAAATCTCTCCTTTTTGGAGCACCCTTCAGCCCTTCTGTGGAAACGCTCCCTGAACACCAGCCCGGGTGTGAGAAGCCGGCTGTCCCCACCGCTCAGCATGACACCCAGTCCAGGGGGTGCTCCAGAAGGGCCAAGTTACGACCACAGGTCTCCCACCCTCCACATCCCACACAGTGGGTCTCCGAGCCCCCTCTCCAGAGCAGGGGGTGGACAGAGGCCACCTCCATCTCCCTGTTGTCCCCAGCCCTGTCTGAACGCTCTCCACACCACCTCAGGTACCCGGGCAGGCGGTGGCTCCCTCTCTTAGAGCTGCACAAGCGTGTAGCACCCAGGGCAGGACGGGTGTTCAGCTCATCTCACGCTGAGCGACTTCTTTGTAGCCTCTTGTGCCACAACTTCCCCCAGGAAGGAGAAAGGCACCTCCCTACTCCACCATAGTGGGCCAAGTAAGCAGGGCAAGGGGACAGACACCAAGCAGCACCACCGACCACCTAGTCGTGTTATATGGGCAGAGAAGCCACTCGAGCAAGAGCACAGCTGAGGCACATCTCTGCGTCTCAGTTTCCTCATCCACGCTCCCAAGGCAGGGGGCAATACTCATCTCCCAGTCCCACAGCCCTCCCTTACATCTTTCTTCGATGCCTTTGACTCTCCATCCACGTCGCCCAGGGCAGAAGCGGAGATTTTCTCTCTCTCACCAAGGAGCTCCGTTTTGCTGGCCTTGGCTTCGCCGCCTTCGCTCATCTTGAAGGAGGAGGCACTGTCATTGTCCTGGAAGCCGTCAGACATGCTGTTGGAGCTCAGCCACGAGGCCACTTTGTTCTTGGAGGTCTCCTCCGACACCGGCAGCTTACAGGAGGCAGCCACCGCCGTCTCATCGTGGCTGATTTGCCGGGTGAGCCCTGAGTCCTTGGAGGCCGTCTCCGATAGCCCGTTCTCCTTCTGGCCCCGGGTCTGCCGTCGTGTGGCATAGCTGCGCCATACCGAGCTGGTGCTGAAGTCCTCGTCCTTGCAGAAGTTGTCGTCAGAGCTGTCCTCATTGGACTCCTCCTGCTCCTCAGTGCCTGTGTTCTCCTCCTCTTCGTCCTTGAGGTCCACCCCGCTGCTGTCAGAAGAGCATTTTGCGTCGCTCTCGTAGCCCTCCTTGAAGTTCTCCACGCTCTCAATGTGATCCAGGTTTGCAAAATATTCGTCACCCATCTCTAACCCCTCTTTGTCAGCAAAGTCATCTGTGAGGATTTTCCCTGGGTGTGGGAAATAGAAAACTAAGCATGAGTTTTCCAGGGATGATATTCCTACCCCATAAATTTTATCCTCCCCAAAGGCTCACGGAGGAGCAAACGGGACTGACACCACCTTATTCCAAAGCTGGGCTGGGAAAGGACATATTACCCTGATACTTGAGGTAAAGACAATCTGAAGCACGTGGCTGATCTGAAGTGGGCCCTTGCTAACATCCAGGCTTCCAACAAGGAAATCTCTGAACAGCAATTCAAACAGGGTGACTGCCTTTTACTTTGAAGGGCTGGAGGTGAGGGTGTAGCACAGAGGCCACATTAAGGGTAAGAAACCAGAGCACCAGAGCTGAGGCAATGCCCGTGGTTAGTTTCATTTCAGAGTTAACGCAACCATGCTGCGCAACTTCTGCATTTTATTGGTTTGTGCCGAAGTCCCAGCGACTGGTTCGATGTAAACAGGAAGCAGGTATGTGTTGATTCACCCTCAGTGTGCAGAAACAGCTCTGGGGACCCGAGCACTTCTCTTGACACTGGCACTGCAGCCACACTGGTTTCTGCAGCATCTTGTTTCAGAGTTGGGCAAGGGAGGGGCATCAATCAGGAAATCCAAGATTGCAAGTTCATCATCTAAGTTTTCACTTTCCTGTCCCCTTAACAAGCACAAGGCAGAGCTTCACACCCGTTCTGCTGGGTTTTGCATTTTGCGATAAACAAAGCCTAGATCTCAGGCTTGACACAAGCTTGATACAACCAGATCTTTTCAAATGCTAATTCCCCCCTCCTTAACCAAAACAAAGCAGATTCATATCTGAATACATGTGACCACTGGGAACAGCACTGGCTCAACAAAGGCTCCTCTTTCAAAACTAAGAGGCTTCTACCTGCTTTTTCAGCAGGGCGAGATCCTACCTGCGTAGATGCAGACAAAAGAGCCTTTAGCAATATCATCAAGGCAGCGAATGCCCCAGCCTTTGTTCTGCGTCTTGAATAACTGCAGTCGGACTTGGAGCCCATGTTGGACCAAGCGATTGGTGCACATGTTAATGTTGCACTTGCACCTCTTGTTACACTCGTAAACTCTGAAAGAAAGGAGAACAGTGACATCCTCCCTGATAAAGCAATATCCCAAGACTTGGTTTGTACCAGTGATGATGCAAAGGGACTTGCAGCCGTGGCTTAAAGCTCAGCAGAGTAGGGAGAGTGTAGTTGCCAGGTTCTACGATAATGCACAGAGATCCCGGGCCACACATTAACAGATGAATCAAGAACAGAGGCAGGTTTTCAGTATGTGCATTTAGCTCCGGGAAATACTGCCTCCCTGATAGCATCGGAGGCCAAGTTTCTGGGGCTGGTATTTGTGAGGGAAGGAGAAGACGCAGCTCTACTCACCCTGTCGGGAGGCATTCTTCCAGCCTTTTGTGCTGGTATCCTGAATTGGGGTTGATCTGCCCACCCGGGGTGCAGCCAGTCGCTTGGACTGTCAGCTGGTGACAGGCACATTTCGATCTAGAGAGACACACAGAAAAACCCACCCGTGCCCCAGAGGTTAGTTTTACACACCGGTTTTGCAGGAAGGAAAAGAAATCACATCTTTCTGCATGCACATACGCAGAGAGAAGGGCACACAGGGCTTGACCTGGAGTCAAACCTGTGACCCACCAGGGCTGTGTGGGCTCAAAGTCCAGAGCAGGTCCGCCTTGGGCTGTTATCAGGGCAGGCGGCACAGTCCAGGTGCTGTCCCCCCCCTCCAGGCCCAGCGACACACGAGGAGTCACCTACTTGTCCCTGCAGCCGTCTTTGCAGTCACAGCCCACGAGGAACTCCCAGCTGGTGTTGATATAAACCCCTTTGCCGGGGATGCGTTCTTTGCTGTAGGCCACCTGCGGAGGTGGGGTGTTATCGATCTCGTTGACACAGGACAGCGGCACGTCCTCCCTGCCCTTGGTAATGTCTGCGATGTAGTAGTAGGGTTTGTAGGGCTGGAACTTGCGATCTACCAGCACGTACGGGTCCAGGCAGAACATCTCCAGGAAAAGGAAGTCGCAGTCTGTCTCAAAAAGGTAGCGTTCGATCTCCTGCATGGTTCGCAGGCACAGCCCACATGGCGTCTTGTAGAGGACGTGGAAGCCCATCTTGCGGTTAACCCGTCGGCGGGCCGTCATCCGTCGGAAGTCGTAGAGCAGCGGGATGAGCAGGGGGTTCTTGCTGCGGTACTGATCGCTGCGGATGGGACGGACGCGGGACAGGCAGGTGTAGCTGCAGACGTGCGGCAGGTAGAAGAGTTTCTCCAGCGGGGCTCGGTAAGAGGGCTCGTTGGGCACGCGGTCCATCATGCCATGGAAGGCCTGTGCTGTGCCGCTGCCTGCCTGGCCGCTGGAGAGCC